TTCTAGAGGAGGTGTGATTACAAGGCTGATCACTGCTGTGCAACTCTGTCACGCAATGCAATAAAGGCGTGCAGCCAAAAGTGCTGAGAGATTTTGCTTCTTGTCTCTTACATTAATATGAGAAGCATTCAGCATCCATAATGAGACAGCATCTAATCATGTGCACTGTGCCACAAAATGTCCTGCTAGAAGTGTTGCAGAACACGGAGCACTCATAAGCTTTGCAGAAACTCCTTCAGGATCACCTACTGCAAAATGCCACAGTTGGCTGGTTGTGTATTGCAATGCGTTGTGCTAAGTTATCTCCTGTTTCACTTTATAACAATTCTCATCAAATCAACATACTGCTTTTGTGATAAGATTCTGCAAGACGGATAAGACTGACAGACAGAAAACAGCAGCCATGCTACTGCTTGCTGACTGTGCAGAGTTGGGACAAGTAAAAGAGAAGGCACTGAGAGAATCTGCATCTTTGTCATTGTTGATAAATCCATTTCACGACTGCAGAGAGACACATCTGCACTTGGCAACAGCTCCATGTAAAAACAAAAACAGTAGAACAGAAATCCTTGTTTTAGTGCACATTACAGAATCATAACTCTCCAAGTGAGTCTGATACATTAGTGACACCTCTTTAGCCACTGTCTAATACTTCAGCAGACATGAAATGGAATATTTTACTACTATTTTCAGCCACCTGTGCTGCTTTCTTTCAGCTCAGGTTTGCCAAAACTGTGATCAAACTCTCTGTGCTTTATACCATTATGCATTTCTTAGTATCATACCAATGCACCAATCAAATATATCACTGGTGCCACACATACTGACTGCTGAACTCTCACATTGACAGAAGCACATTTTTGTTGCTTATATACCTAGCACTTTTTAGTTATTTAGCAATCCTCCTAATCTAGTTTAAGCTTTCTCTCTATTAAGGGAATGTGGAATAAAGTGCCTCCAAGCTGTAACACAATGAGAGGATTCAGAAGGCCATCACTTAATTCCTTGCTCTACCACAGGGTTCTAAGGCTGCAGACAAATAATTCTGAGTGCATCTATGCTGACATTTTGACTTTTTACCATAAGCACACTTCTGAAGTGAATTTCTTCATCTTCCATGCTTTGCTTCCCATTGTCAACCAGTGTCTCTGAATGCATGGACTGGATTCAGCTGAGACTAAGCCATCTGAGATATCTTCTGCAGAGCCATATAAATGTGCTCCAGCAGCAAGTGAGCATCAGGCTATTGGGGCTAGACAGGAAATAATCTATAGCAAAAACAGACAAATAAAATTACCCCCCAATATTAAGAAATAGTAAGAAAACCCTCAAAATCAACTCTAACCCCAAAGCATACATAAAGCAGACACCAGATTCTGATGCAAAGTATTTTGCTTTACTAACCTGTTTCTAAAGATCTGTGCTAGAAGTTCGTGTGGACATTGTCTCAATGTTTTCAACTCCTTGTATACAGATGTATCTTTTGGGGATGGGGTTGTTTAGGATACAGAAACTGAGACCACATCTACGCATAGTGGCTATGCTGCTTGCACTAACTTCAGTGGACCATTCCATCATCACTCTTTGTTCTTTATATATTATCATTAATGCTTTCATGGCCATAAGGAGAATGAGAAAACTTTCTAAAAAAGACCACATCTCTCTTTTTTTTTTTTTTTTTTTTTTTTTTTTTTTTTTTTTTTTACAATACAGGCTATTCTAATTACCAGCACAAAGAGAAGAGGAATGACAGACAATCTCCAAATTCAGAGTGAAAAGTAACAGTTCAACCAGTGCTGCTTTCAGAAAGATTCATAAAACCTTGTAGACACTTGTCTTTAAAACAGATCTGTGTGATTGAAAGTTATTGTTGTCTATTCATGTGTAACCTGCTGTCAACTCACATTCTATTTAGGGATAATGCTTCTCTTCTCCCTCATTTTCCTGCATTCCTCAGCAGTTGAGAAAAATGAGTAACATGTAAACCAAATAGGGGAAACATTAGAAAGCAAATATCTTTGTTCAGGTAATAAGTATTGGACAATGCACTCAAATTTATTTGCATATATAACTTGAGAAAGGCTGCTGTGAACTGACAAGTCAACTCGCAGGTAGCTGCAATGAGACTGTATTTACCATTTATAAAATGTAATTGCAGTAAAATAGGATTACTTAAGATTTGAAGGTACACACAGGAAATACTTATCTTCTTCATGCTATTCCTTAGAAGAATGGCTAAACTTGAAGCAAGATCTAAAATACTCACTGCAGACTAGGTTTTACCAAATTCTTGTTATTTCAGAAGCCAACTAAATTTTCAAGATCTTCTGGTTTTGGCAATTAAGAAATATTTTCTTGCCACCCATACAGTAAGATTTTTCATGTATTATCTAAAATATGCAGTGTTTATGTAATCTAAATGAAAATTACAAGAAAGAAGAAAGGAACAACTTGCAGGGACTAAAATAAGGATGCTAGGTCTGAAGAGTAGGGAGGAAGGAAGTATAAAAAAGGAGGAAGTAAACTGGGATCAAAAATTGGTCATTATAGAAGCAAACTATACATCATCTATTAAGTGACATAAGCAATTGCAATTTCATCTAAACTTACTCGATTAAATTAAGGCAAAAATCTATGCCCTCTGGAAGTTCTTACTCAACATGAAGAAGTTGGACAAGAGCAATAATCTTCAGTTCAGACTACATACAATGGTAACATCCAGCTATCAGCTTCACAAAGTATTCCTATATCTATGCTAATATCATTAACAAAAAATAAGACATTTTGTCAGCACCTACCAATAAATAAACTGAAGCTGTTGATACATATTTAACACACAAAGATATCTTTTCCTGTGATGTGGCTTAGCTGAGAGTGTTCAGCACGAGAGGAAAGTCTGAGTGCAGCAAGAAAGGTCTCCGATGATTTAATGCATGGCATCACTTACTTCAACTCCATCCTAGCAAAATGATTTCTCCCAAAAACTGAGGACCACTCACTGCTGTTTCTGAACCCTCAGGAGTGATGGCCGCAGAAGCTGTCTCCACTTGTGCAGTTTGGTTCATGTTTCTGTAAAAGAACAGTCTAAACATGGGCTCCCCTCTGTATGGGAACTGCTGAATCACAGCCTGATGCTCTGATTGACCACCTGAGGTGAGCAATGGGTCAGCCCTGGGAGCACAGATGAAGGTAATTCACCTGTGCTACTGGAAGAGATGGAGCCTGGCTCCACCTCTCCTAGATCCCATTTAAGAGCTGACTGACACTGAGGAAAGATCTCTTCCTAGAGATCCCTCTTTATGGAGAATATTGTGAGCCTACAGCATTGGTAAGCATTTTCCATGTATTACCTTCCTGTTGTAATTATCTTAGCCTAACTTTCCTGGATATTTCTTAATTATAACATCTGTATATTCATTGATTGTATACTTCCTCTTACATGTCTCTGCCATACCCTGCTTACACCTGATTGATATGCAGCTCTGGGGGCTGCTCAGAAACCTACACTGGAAACCAGCTCCCTGATTTTTGGAGGTGGAACTGCTTATACCAGCACTGCTAGGTTCTAACTACATCTTACAGAAGATAAAGAATGCTGTTCTCAGTTTGTTAAAAATCAGTGGCTGTCACTTGATGCACGTTTTATCCCATGGAAGACTATCACTGTCAATCAAAAGCAGCACTTGTGCCCTGTCCTGTATTTCCTTCTCCCTGCCCTGCTCCTGCTGACACCAACATCTGTACACAAGAGCAGGGATCCAAAAACTTCACCACTGATTTGGCTCCTGACTGCAAAGTTGCTGTTCTAGCTGGCCTGATCCTGCTTCCCGTGTACTACACAAACTGCTTGTACCTGCACAAGTGACCAGGCAGCAGTGATCTTTTCACAGGCTGTGCTGACTTTAAAAGCTTTTCTTGAACTACAGACTGACAGCTGCAGTCTGTTTCCCAATACATTCTCCTTTGGCTTAAAGTACATATCCTGCGTTTCTTCTCTTGGCTTAATCCTCCACAGGCACATCTCAGCAAGGTGTCTAGTTGATGTCTTCCAAACATTCAAGTTTCTGCTTGAGTGCCAACAACTTTTTATTCAGTGCCTCAGTATCAAAGGTGCTACACAAGATCTCATTTTTAATTGGGTACAAACTGCAAGAAGAAAAATAAAAATAATAAGTAACAGTTTTAAGCTATTGAGAAGCAATTAGAGCAAGAGCTATGCTAAAGAGTAAGTTGTTTCTAATAGAGAAAGGGCTTTTTTTAAGTAGACAAAAAGTGTAGCAGTTCCGTACAAACTCCAGTCAGCATTTTGCAAATACTGATAAAGAAAACAAAATTTGTGCTCTTGGTGACAGCTGTTCACGTGACAGTTGCTAGAGTCTTTATTTTCTAGTATAACAAGTATTAGTTTCAATCAGATACAGCTACTGGAACAGCAGCAGCTATTCTATGTCTAACTCAACTGAGGAAAATATGTAGAAAGCCCTATTGTGCAACAGCACTAGAATCTGGCTGTGCATCTTGTAGGGGTTTCCTCAGATCACTACAGGCCATTAACCTTTCACTTCAGGTAAGTAAAGAATGACAACTTCTCTAACAAAGGAAATCAGCTGTGTTACCAATGGCAACTCCACTTCTAAATACATGCACCAACCCCCTGTGCATGCACTTATTTTTTTTTTTTAAATCAATTCTGGTCTGAAATGAGAAAGGTTCCCTTTGGCTTCACCTTGAGTTGATAATGAACAAACCCTCCATGAAGTCTGTTCCCGTGGAAGTCTTCCTTAATAGCACTGATTAAAAATAAAATGAAGTTTGTACTTAGGAAGCAAGATGAATTGCTTCCTGCTCTCCTTCACCGGGATACCTTGTAATTGGACCGGTGCTAATTGGACACTTCGACCAAACAATTTCATTTGAAAGTGGAAAAAAAAACCAATCCACTCTATTTTCTCTTGGTTCCACCAGAGCCAGTGTCACTGGCCAACAGCAAAACACTTCACTATGAAATCAACATAAGGCTTTAATAAAAAGAAGAGGAAAGCACATCAAAACCCTGGCAGTGTCTTCATTGTCTCACTTCTGTACAACACCAACACCCATCTTCAAGCAGAACCACAGAAGTGCTCCTTTATAGTATCTCCTCTGATTTAATAGTCTTGTATAAGTTGGGCAGAATAGGTGCATTGGTGACTTCTGCAGGTTGACACAAGGGAATAATCTGTCAGGGTAAAAGGTGACAGATTCAGGACAAAGACAGAAGAGTGACTCACACAATCAAGGAAATCATTTCTTAGGTAGACACTAACTGGGAAAGGCTTCCATCTGTTTTTTGCTTAAATATAGTGGTGATCAAAGCCACATAAAAATACCACGAGCTGAAAATCTTAAGCATTAACAAGAAAAGTTGTAGTATTTTCCTTTTCCACTTTGTTAATTCATTCTTAACCCCTGTGCCCTCAAGTCTTCTCTTTCCTTCATCATTTCTCCTATTAGCAGGGCTTCCTCGTCTCCAAAAGCAGCAGATGTGAACTACTTCCTTTTAACATCTCTTTCCAAAAACAGCTTCCTCCATGAAGCAGGCATACTGCAGGCCTCTGAGCAGAACACAGGAGCCTGAGAAACCTTGGAGAACAAAAGAGAGAGACAGGGAAGAATCTACCTCACATCTTCTAATGCTGTCTCTGTGTTTTCTCTATGACAAACACACTAAAAAGGACACACGAGAAGAACTACTTCTTCCTTCTTTTAATTCTGAACATTGGCATCCATAATTAGATTTTATTTATGAATATTAAGATAGGTTTTATTCCACATTGTTTAATAGGATGATATAGTTCAGTTTTCTACAAAATAGATGTAATGTTATTGAGGCAACAATGTGCAGCTGCATAATGCCTTAATGTACATTGTTAAACTTTACTCGTGCTTCCTTAATATTCTGCATACAGAAACTAGAGCTGCGAAGAACTGCTGATGGGCTGCATTTCTGAATTCTGCATTGCCTCAAACACTAGCTCAGTCAAGACTTTAAAAAATAAAAAATCATAATTTAAAGCCTCTGGAGATCAGCGTGACTGCTATTCTAATCTGTTATGGAAAAACAGATGCAGGAGAGATTTCTGATTCTTGCAAAAAAAATTCACAGGTCCAGAACACCACTTTTCTTTTTCTTATTGGTTTGTTTTTTTTTTCTTTTTATAGAATAAAATACACAATACCAACATAGACAGAGCTTGGCTTGTAACACATTTTCTATTTTTAGACCTTATGTCATGTGCATATAATTAATTTACCTTTAATCAATCACTTCTTTGTGAACATAAAATAAACAGTTCCACACTGCACCTTTGGATTCCACATTAATCATTGCTCTAAAAGATCATTTAGTTGCAGCAAGAATTAAATGCATCAAAGTATTTTCCCCAAATTGTTGCGCATCCTCCCCAGAATTTCCTGCCTTGCTCTGTGTTTGCATGAACACTCTTTCACTCCTAATATTTAGAGATGTTCTTCTTGCAGAATAAGATAGGAGTGCAGATTTCTGCAGTTCGGACTGCCTGGTAACCACATGCACTTAGCTGCCTCCACTCCCTCACTTCTCCAGTGTATATGCAGGAGGAGGTTAGAAGAACATGATGACATCCAAATATTTGCAAAAGCAAGATTTTGAAGATTCTTCCAATTTTCTTCTGTACATCCGATTCATCCTCTTCCAATTCAAATGATGCTGGGCTGCCCTCAATGGTAGCTGCAGCTTTCAAGTGACACCATTTATCCCCAAAGATTTGAATACTGAGATGCCATGGATCCGAGCGTAAATTTTTAACAACAAAGGTCTCCAATGAGACACAAATGGTGGGTTTCAGTGACATCTTTTCAGAAAAATAAATCTAGTGCAATAAAAATATCCATTAATCCTGCTATTTAGCTATGTATTTGAAAAATAAGCAAAAAACAACCTGTCAAGTTTTTATTTTTTAAATAAAGAAGTAATAGAAAAAAAAAGAGAAGTCACCTACATATATACTTGCATCCATAGTAGGGTTTCACATCCCACAGCACCTAGTAACTGCAAGACTAAGTCTCTTCCTTAGGCTGCCTCTCTGCCTACCAACTGGGTCCTCCTTTATGAAACCATAAAGTAGTCACATAGCAAAGACAGAGTACTGTTAAACAAGCAGTTTCATTTGCTCAGGGTATTTTGGTTACATTGTGCAGCTGTAATTACCCCCCTGATGTAATGCTGTTTTTCGTAAAAGCTACAATTCCTTGCCAGAGCAGCTGCTATGCCAACATGATGACCATTAGTCAGGGTGTTTAGTGTCCAGTGCCAGGGTAAAAAGCCATGAGCACAAACTGGAATACAGGAGGGCCTGTCTGAACACCAGGCAGTACTTCTGTGCTGTGTGGTGACGAAGCATTGGCACAGGCTGCCAGTCTCTTTGGAAATCTCTAGCAGCCGCCCAGAAAGGGGCCTGGGCACCCTGCTCTGGAAGTGGGGTTGGGTCAGACGGACCCACAGAGCCCTGCCATCTGGGATTCCATAATTCTTGTGAAGAAATCTTTATTAATTTACATTCAGAAACAACCACAGGCTTCACTGTGGAGCTTCTAACCACTGCACACTCGATCTCCAAACTTGTCCCCCTTCAAGTTGGGAGCATATTTTCAGCCTGGAGAAAAATTTCAGCATTGGCTGCTGAAAGCCTCACTGTGGCTCTCTCTCCCTTTTGCCTCTCCATTAACAGACATTTTCCCAGCTATTATTAAGTGCTAATACAACTGTAGTACAGGAGGTAAAACTGACTTCACATCAGCACGTATGGACTCGCTGGGCTATGGTACATTCAGATTTTGTTTGTAATAATGAAGAGAATGAAGCAGGCCAGAAGCTTTACCTGAAAACTGCTGCTTCTTTCCAAGCATATCATCTAAAAAAAAAAGCAATTTACTATAGAATACAGGAGGTTCTCTAGGCAAAATGGAGACCTAAAAGCCTAGTAATTACTGGCCTAGTAATCTGTGAAGGAAAACTCAAATGTTCTTTCAGTACTAAAAAAATAAATAAATAAAAAGTGCACAGATACAACAGCCAATTGCAAAAGATAGAAATGTTTGTGTGGAGCAATCAACTCTACTTCTATCAGTGTGCCTGGGGATACAGGTGGTGCAGACAGATACTGCAGCATCAGTAGCTGTGGTTTAATAATAGCAGATAGTTCACACACCTATTAGCAGCATCAGTGATTGCTAGCCAACAGTTCAGTGTTACCAGTGGTTTTCTTGGATGCCAGCTGACAGCAGAAAGTGAAGAAGAGGCTGATAAAGAAAGACTTGGCTGTCTCTGCTTTTCAAAGCATCTTCCACTCAAAAGGTGATGCAAGAGCCTGGGCTTCATTAGGGACACTGCCATGTGCAGACATGGCATATGTGACAGTTTACACCAGAAGTAATAAAATGCAACAATCCCTTACACAAGAACTATCACAAGATTGGCAAGCATATATCTGGAATCACTGGAAGAACTATGCCATATAACTTACGCCATTTTCTGACTTTCTTATTCCACATCACACAGCTGTCTGAAGAGGTGTGCTGAAATAGCTCATTCTGTGCTCTGGAACAGTTATGCTTTTTGCACTTACAAGGAACACTATTGTGCAGAAGTGCAAAAATAGACTCAGACATCTTCCAGGGAATTGCCTAATGCAAAAAAGGCACCCTTCAAAAACAGTTTTTAGGAAACAAAGGCATGGCTGTTATTTTCCTCGTGTAGTAAGAATTACGTACACTTTTCTTCACATTCTCCTCTATGTATTTATTTTTCATTGTGACTTCTTCTTCCTGTAATGGCTTTTTGTGTGACAAATGGTGACCTGGGGGGAAAGGTGCTTTGACAAAGTACCACAGCCAAGCTCCCTATGCCCTGCCTTATTGACAGCCAGAGCTGACATTACTGAGTCCTGAGCACCCACAACCTGCCTCCAGAAATGTTGCTGGTCCAGAATTCTTTGCCTGCTACAGCCTCTTACATCCACCTCAGGCAGTGCCCAGTGACCATGCAAGACACACAGCAAGGAAGTGGCAAATTGCTGTTACAATTTTTGTTCTGGGTTTGGGAACTGTTTAAAAAAAAACAAAAAACCAACCCAAACAAACCAAGATATCAATAAAATAAAGGTGCTCCCCTATCCCTGAGAAAAGACATGCAGCGCGATTACAAAGCATAATGCTCCTGCATGTCCTTCCCCTACTGAGACGTCACCTATACCACGCACTTTATGACTGAGCATAATGATACAGAAGAATTTTTATGCAGCCTTAAGGAAAGTGTGACCAAGATTAAAAAGAGAAGTGACAAAATTCTCCCTCCGTGCTGAGCACTGGCAAAATGCTGACACATCAAGGGACATCACTCCCACACCTAAATACCAGACTGTAATATTATGAATGATGATTGATCTTCCTCAGTAGGGGATGAGCTTAAAAGATTGTAAAGTGAGGATTCAATCACAGCTTTATGTGACTGAGCAACATAGGTGACATAAAATGCTTGAAATCCCCTTGGCAAGCACTGCCTGCAGGCAGGCATGGGAGTGTATAACTGGCATCGAATGTATAGGAAGTTACAGGATCTGCTCTTCCTTCCCATCAAAAGCATCCCATCTTCTGCTCCACTGCAGGTACCTACACCTAGAGAGGATCCAGGAAATTAAATGCAATTGTAGAAATGAAGCACTGACAATTATTTCCACTAGAAACATCACTCCCCTACAGAACATAAAGCAGCACAGATCTCCAGTGCTTACTGAAAACTTGGGAAACACCATCACTGAAGGACAAATGGTTACCTTAATAGCTCTTTTACCTGTTACCATTAGAATAATCAGTGTGTTATTTTACATTCAGCTCTTAAAAGAGATTAAAAGCCACAAAATATTTGACTGAAAAAGATATAAATGTGTAGAAAAGACAGCAAAACAAAACAAGGAATTAGAAGACAAAACATGGTTGAGGATGTTAAATCTGTACTGAGCATGCAGTGTTTTAGTTTTTTACTTCTGAGGTTGAAAGTAAAGGAGTATGTTTTTTTTTCCCCTTAACAGAGCTACCTGTGAAGTTCATTTTATGGCTTTAAAAAAAAAAAAAGTTTAAAACCAAACCAGACTCCATTCTCTCAACAAATCATACATGCACAGTTATTAATTCCACAACAATCACACAGTGAAACATTACCTCCCTCAATTACCCACACACGTTAAAGGTGTGATATGTGGGGCTTTTTTTGGATTAACTTTAAGAGATGCAAAATTGATTTGTTGCACCTGGTTATAGCTTTTAAAAACATGCATAAGTAACAATACTTCATGTAGCTAACATTTCCTTCGTTGACATAACTACTGAAATAACAGTGTTATGGAAATGCTAAGTCATGGCTTGAACCAGTGATTGGGTACCTGGTGGGAAGAGAGGGCCAGCCCAGGGAGCTCAGGTACATGCAATCTATGGAAGTAGGAAGAGGGATTCAGGAGTCTTTAGCATTTACTGAACAGTCTGCAAACAGCACATCACCTATAGGCAGCTCTACAGTGCAGCAGAGGTTTGATTCCTGGGGTATCTGGACAGGGAGCCAAGAAGTTCTGTGGGCATTTTGGCTGTTCCCAGCAAGCAGCCAGGTGATCTTCCCTGTGACAAGATACAGCAGAAAGATTCATGCTGGTGCCACAGGGAGGAGGGGAAGAAGTCATCACAGGGCACAAGTTCCAATAGCAGGGAGGGACTTCTGGAAAAAGAGTGTGTTTAGAGCACTGATAGTTCTGTTAAATGAAAAACTGGAGCAAACAGCTGCAGCTATAATAGGGTAAATCAACATTTTGTGTTCTGATGGCACAGCGGGTTGGCACTAATGTAAGTCCAGCAGGACTGACTGACAAAAGTGTTGTGTCCCATCTCCTACAGAGATGACAGTTATCCATCACAGACTAGAAAGAACCAAAGGGGGAGAACAGTGCTGACAAATTATAGAAAGCAAGCAGATCCAGCAATGTTTGTGGTCCTGTCCATAAAAGCAAGCAGAAGCAAGCTGGAAGATTGCTCAGAACTCTGGGTACTTGAGTTTCCTCATTAGAACTGACTCAACTTGGGGAAGATCTCAATTTGTCTCAAGGCTTATGAGCCTCAAACACAACTTGCAAGGCCACAGGGTCTCAAAGCAAAGTCCAGAAGGAAAAAAAATTCAGATCAAGACTCATTCCTATAGCATAAGAGGATACAAGGTCACTTAAGAAACACCACATCATCATCATGTTAATCAGTGAGAACATGTTTAAGAGCAAGTCTGCGGGAGTTACTTCTGCAAGGGAGTGGTACTTGGAGCAGAGACCAAATTGTCAAGTACACAGCAGGGTGAGGAAGACACAACTGATACCTGACTCCAAGAAATAGCTGAAAAGGAATAGAAACAGAATGAATACAAGAGAAAAATCAAAGGACAATGAAAATGAGAGCCCTCCTGTCCCCAAGCTCCAGCTCAGGCAATTAGGAAGAACTGCAGTCATAAAAATTTTGCTTTACATCAACTACACCTGTTTATTATTCTAGTTATCAACAGGCCACTGATGGGGACTATCTCCCATGGATGACTGTGCTTTTAATAGTACATAGAGTATCCAGAATGCCAGGTTTCATAATGAACTGTAACAAATGTTTTATGTAAAAATGAAGCAGTAAAAACAGTTGTGTAAAATGCCTATACTTCTACTAACTGTCCTGCAAATACCCACACATTACAGACAACTTGTCAGTGACCAGGCTTCAAACTTGGAATGATAGAATACTGACAGGAGAAAATAAATGGAAAAAAGGTGTCTTCTGGCTTTTCTGCTTTGGGTGTACATGCTGTTAGACCTCCAAGGCTTTGTTTAGTTACTTTGTATGTGAGGATTGGAATTCTGTTCTTGTGTGCATGTAAGAGTATGAACACATGGCAAAATCCAGTAGCTACACAAAAAAGACTTTTAAACTATTGAAGCATTCCTCAGCTTCAGTTGCTTCCACTCCTTGTCCTTAAAATTCAATACCAAACCATTAAGCAATTCTGTATTTGCTTCAAAGAGCATCTGACTGATGAGAAGAATGACACATGATGGTATGCCCAAGAAGCCCCTTGCAGGGTAATGTGCTTCATCCTTCCTACAGGGCAAAAATATTGCTGAAATGATAACAGCACTGTCTAGCAATAATAGATCCTCAGAGCAGAAATTCTAGGATGCCACTCCTGTATTGGTGACCTGTTTGAGGGCTGCACAAATCTGCTGTTTTTTATCTCCCCCAAGTGGTCAAGAGAGTATTAAGTCTGCCTTAGAGAAGCAGCTTCTCTAGGACAACTTCTCCAGAGTCAGATGTAAAGGCTAGCAGTGGTATTGAAAAACTGCACAGCTAAACCAAATAAAAAGGTCATTAGGAAGGCAGAAAGCCCAGGAAACATTCAGTCTCAGAAGTAAAACAGTTAATCCACATATCCCCATATAACACATAAACTTAATTCCTGACTCGCTTTCCAATATACAACAGTCTAAAGTACAACTTGAAATAGTACCTGTGTTTGACAGTTTACAAGTGGGTTTAATCACCTTAGTACAGATTTGCTAATAATTTATAATCCAATTCATCTTTGAAATAACTAATATTTCAAGCACCTGACACCAGAAGTATCCGAACTAGTATAATCTCATTGCAATTAATAGCCTCAAACCATTCAATTGCAATCTATCACTACTTCTCAAACAGCACTGATTGCAATTACTTTCCACTTTTCCTTAATGTCTCCTGTAAATTTCAGTAAGTAAGCAACTGTCCTTCACCCTTTCAGTTACACATATTTGTTTTAAAAGGGTTTGGAAGAGTATGGAAAGAGGAGGTCTTTACTGTTAATCTAACTATACTCTAAATCTTTTACAAATGTTAATGTGGCCGTAGGCCAGCTTTGACAGGATATAAACAACTGTCCTCCAGTCTGCTCTTTCATTCAGTCATTAGCATTGGTATTCGTGAAAAATACTTTATCCTGGAAGCTAAAAGCCTCTCTTTATTCAAGGAACAATTACACCTCTGGCTGCATCATAAATTACCTGCATTCTCAGAACAACATACTTATTATGAACTTCATCTAGAGTAACAATCCTAGATATGAGAGAAGTGCCTGATAATTACTAAAAATGCTTGGCTGTTTATTTAAGCTACAAAGAGTGCTATTTGTACACGGTTGTCAAAGTGACAAGGATCACTAAGAAATCTTCCAGACAGTGAAAAATTCGAAATAGTAAATTTCCACTGGTGTTTGTACTTACTACTCACACACTGAATTTCCCAAGAGAGATAAATGCAATTCTATGATTGATCTTCCCAAAGGTCTACCTGGAGGCAGCTGGCTTGGGCTGGGAAAAAGCAGTAACCAAAAAGGCATCATTCTCATTATGACAGGCAAGGGTGGCATTGAAAATGATAACAAAGCGCTTTGATTGTCAAAGCTGTCCCTGCAACTAGGATGAAGCACACACAGCTTTCCACAAACTAAAGTTCAAAGCTACGTCTCACCTTCTACTTCCTCTGGAAAAAATAATAATAAAAAAAAAAAGAGCACAATTTTATAGAAACAAGGTATGAATCACAAGTTTGGCTTTAGGTATAAGCTGATGGATCTGTTACTGTTTTACGTCCACTTGACTTTTGACTTTCTATGGTAAGCGTTGGATTCTACTATGGCTAAGACCGAGGAGTTCTTTTAGTCATTCTCACCCTGCAGAACTTTCCAGAAAAAAGCCACCGTTCCCCTTTGCTAGTTGACTGAAATTTTCTAGCATTTGATTCTATGATTCCATAAAACACATAGGTTTAAAATCTGAAAGTTCTCTGTAACTACTTCCTGTGTAAGAGAGCAGATCCCATACATGAAAGAACAAAGCCGTAAATCAAGCACTAACACTACTGTTAGGAGCAGGCTGTATTTCTGTGAACTAAATGAATGAGTTACTGTTGATGCTCGTTAATACAGTAGTGGAAATAGAATTGGCAATAGCAATTCAGGATAGAATTGCTGAGGTTTCAAAAACCTATGTGATCTGTCCTTCTGGTCTTCAACCTTAAGGAAAACCATCAACGCTCCAATACGACCAAAGAGAACCATCAATGGATCTCCCTCTGTTCATACTGTGATTAACAGCTGCCCACTGTGTTTGCTGTTTTCTGCATAAGACACTATACACAAAAGACCAAATTCTTAGCCAGCAACATTCCCCAGTACGTATTACACAGGGAGTCCCCATGCCCACCAAACAACAAATACTGGACCATGGAATTGGCTGTGCTAACAGTAAGCTGAGTAAGTGGCTTTTCAGTATTATTATATTGCACATTTTTATCACAAAGTTTACAAGGCATCTGTACGCTGGCCGTGTTTAACTGAAAATCTGGGCAATATAATAAAGAAAAATGTCTCTTACTTGACTTTCCATAATTTGGTCTACAAGAATTCAGAGGACTGAGTCTCACTAGTATGCTGAACATTGGCATGTCATAGTACAGCAAAGAGTCAGTGGTTGGACAATGAAGAATGTCATGTAGCCTAAGAAAAAAAAAAAATTACAAGGATTTTTGCTTCTCTAAAGGAAAAAGAAACCTAGACTGACAAGTCTGCAGAACATGTGTCACTTACAATGAGCTCATGCAGAACTTCTGTTAAATTGTTCAGTTTTAGCTATGATACTTTTCTCCTGTTAAGCCATTCCTCTCAAGTTTTTCTTTCAATGAATCAGAAAAAGGAGTGTTTCTGTCTCTCTACATACCACTTCCATATATTCCTTCAAAAAAGATCCACCATTTTTTTCCCAAATATTTTTCCATTGCTAAAGATAATCCTACACCACTTTCTAAATCTCAGTACCACATCTGGAGGACAGAATTAGAAAATAAAAAAAACTGAGGAATTCATAGCCAGGCAGAAAAAAAATCTGTCAAATAGCAAAATAACTATTTTTAAAGCTGTAATTTACTGTACTTTTACAGCTCTGTTTAGGTGTACAATCAGGTTCATATAGTAAGCATAAGGCCAATAACAAGCCAAAGCCTCCTAAAACATACCTAGAAAGGCACCAGGCCTTAGGGTGCCTTGATAGATCTTGTTGAGCAAAATTAATGAAAACATACCTTACAAAGGGCAGGACAAAACACAAACAAACAAAACTAAGAAGCTCTACCCAATTGCACAAAATTGAATTGAAGTGTGGTATAAATAAATTTTATGCATCAAATTTACTTAAGGAAAAAAAATAATCAGTCTGTATCTAGTAATCACACAAGATGCCTAACGCTCGAGTCTATGGTATCATTTGACAAAGTGTAAAGAAACCTCTGTTACAGAACATTTTAAAGAGGTAAAGTCCAGCCACCTTATGACTGAGGTCAACTGCAAGCTAGCTTTGCACATGAAAGCACTAAGAAAATGATTAAAATTTCTAGCTTGATGTTTCTGTGTACTGGTGATTGTAAGATACTGTGAATTCTTCCAAAATAACAGTATGGCTAACAGTGCTCTATTTTTCTTCTTCACAATACCTCCACATTCAAATAAACACACCTTATGATTCTATAAAGGGAAGCGGCTTTAAACTGAGATGGAGGAGGTCTAG